CCTGGCTGCAGCCAGCCAGGCCGCTCCCAGAGGCTGCAACCACGCACAGATGCGTACCCCAAAGCTCTTTCAGCCATAGCAGACGCTTAAAGATTGAGTTAGTCGGATCATAAAAAACGTGCATTTGTGTAGCACCTTACAGTTTCCAAAAAGCCTTCATCATCTGATCCGTTTGTATTTCTTGTTTGGTTCTGCGGGAGTGGCCGGGGGCTTTCCCTGACGTGAGTACCATGTTGGGTGGTTTTTTTCAGTGAGAACCCTGGCTCCGGTGTTCCATTGCCAAGCCTCATTCTCCCCACTACATGGCAGGTCTCGGGGAAATGCCGAGTCTCCTCACAGGAGAACAGTAGCATGCCAGCCTTGGGTAGCTGCCTTTCACTACCGTTCATATTTAAGATGTTCTCTTAGGAGGAGTGCTTGTGGGAGTAGCACACTAGACAGGGCCCTTCCCTGTAACAGTCTTCCAGTCAACATCCCACTTGTAAGAATGATATTTATGTGCAGGTGAGGGAAGGGCGGAAAGATATGCACAAAAGCACCTGGGCCGCCTTCTGAGACTCTTAGGCTCTTAGCATTAGACATCCAGACGCAGGGGGCAGGGATGGAAGGGAGTGGAAGGAGACAGACATCCTTCGAGGGGCAGATGTGGGTACAGGAGGCTGAGGCATGCTTCCCCGGAGACTGTGGGCTACTCTAGACTCCCCAGGAGTTCGCAGGCAATGCCCGAGTGGCCACAAGGCTGCTCCCCACAAAAGTGCCATCTCCATTAGGCCTGGAGTCCGGGAGAGAGCACAGCGTTCTGTCTGCCTGCCGTCCCTGGTGGCCCTCAGCCCCTCTGAGCACGTTCATTCTCCATGGTGTTCTGATGCCACAGTTTGAGAGCTGGCAGCTGGGAGCACAGGGGACCCAGGGGTTTAGGGCTGCGTGTTCCATGTTCCCCCTGGGGCACCCAGGTTTGCTGCTTGAGGCTAAGTTCTTCCCAGTCCGGTCCCTGAGAGGTGGGGTAGGAAGGCTCTGCTGGGCCAGACAGAGGGAGGGCTCAGCTCTGTTGACAAGCAGGACCACCACCACCACTGTAGTCTGAGGGGCAGCCCTCCCCTCTCCCCAGCTTTCTGTGCTTCAGGAAGGAAATGAACAAATGGCAGGTGTGCAGGCCAAGTAGGGCTGCTCAAATTAGCTGTGTTGCTAAGGAAACAAGTCAACCATTGGAAGGAAGGAGCTTTGGGTAAAGGAGATAAATCAATAAGTGAACCTATTTTTATCATTTCCCTAATGATTGTCTTAGAGCTGCTAGACAGGAAAGAAAGTTGGAGCAACACAGGTCCTCATTAGCAGGCTCAGGGGGAGAGAGGAGTGAAGGGGTGTTGGGGGGAGGTTGCCAGGAAAGTTTATGAAATGAGGCGGGAGCAGCAGACAGAGACAGATAAGGGAGAGGAGGTATTTTTGCAAGTTTCAAAGCACTTTCAAGGCCATTCCCTCATGGGTCTGGTCCCTTTGTTCTACTGTGTTTGATCCTCTGAGGAATCCTGTACAGATTTCCATGACCCTCAGGGTGGGGTGGGTTTTTGTATTCATTGTTTTCTTTTTCAGAATACATATCACTCTAATTGATATTATAATCAGAAATTAATGCATGCTCATTTTAACACTCAGACCATGCATAAAGGAGTAAAGATGAAAGTGAAAATAACTCCACTACCCCAAGAAAACTCATTCTCCTTCTAGCAACAGATCTTTTTCCTTTGTCTTTTAAAAATTTTTTAACATAGATTGTGTGTGTGTGTGTGTGTGTGTATGTGTGTGTGTGTTCAAATGGGTAAAAGTGTGGAGAACGTGCAGGGTACCTTTTGTGGACGTACCTCAGGCTCTGGTTTTCCTGTGCTGTTGCTGAGTGCCCCCTGTGTGCTGGTCCCCAGTGGCACAGAGGTGAATAAGACAGGCAAAGCCCCTGTCCTAAGGCTTCCACACCTCGTTGCTTCGTTAGCTCTGTTTGTTCAAGATTTCAAACCTCAAATCACTGCGGACACCAGGGAGAGAGATTGTCCAAAATGTGGTTAGTGTCAGGCGCAGAATGGGATGGGAATCACTGAACCCCTGGGCAGAAGAAGTCAGGGTTCCAGACAGATTTCCATCCACCTGTCCCAGGACGGGCCGGTTCTTTGAGGCCTTGGCAATTTGGAGCTTCCTTTGATCTTCCCAAGTCATACCTTTAGCCTGTGAGGTGCATTCACTTGACCTATGGGCCATTATTTGAATCCAGGCTCTTCCCTTTGGAAATGTAGTAGAGGTTCTATCGGGCTTGAGGTTCTACCAGCAGGAGAGAGGGGAGTGGTGCCTCTGAGTCAGTCCCAGGGGTGGGGGTGAGCAGGAAACCCTGGCCTGAGCCATGAGAGGTTACAACCCTGACTTGTGATGGCTCCTCAATGGAGTTTGCTGCTCCCATTCATTTATGTCTGCCTTTAACATTGAGTGAGCTCCTACTGTGTACCAGGAGTCCTGTAAGCACTGACAATGGAGAGATGGCCAAAACACTGTCCCTGTTTCAAGAGATAGTTGTTCTGTGTTTTTTATGTGTTTTTTTTTGGGGGGGGTATAAATATGAGGAGAAATAATAAAATTGCACAATCAAAGAGCTATGGGCAGAGGGAGAAACCTTCACAGATAAGGTAACATTTCAGCTTGATCTTGACATATGACCGGAGAGAAGGAGAAAAGCCATTGTAGGAGGAAGCAAAAGCATCAAGTGCCCTCTCTCTGTGCTTTTTTCAGAAAGAGAAGTGGACAGGAGGATGGAGGAAGGGCTGTCAGGGAGAGGGGTGGGGCAGCCAGAACCTGATGTCCTCTCCTGCTGTCCTCACCTAAGATTTCTCCTTCGCCGTCCTTTCATCTAGTCCACAGACATATGCCACGCCCAGAGCCTGATCTTTCCTTCTGCATCAGTATCTCACCTTTTAATTGCCCCAGACATGAATTTATCCTGAGCTGTAGATGATCTATGAGGCCTAAAGGGAGGGCTCAAGGGTATGTGTATTTGGACAGTTTTCAGAATTTTTAGCCAAAGAATCACTGCTCTGAGTGGGTCTTTAGATATCAGACCATAGACAGAGAGAGAGGATTGTGGGAATGGGGAAGGGACATGGAAATGAGGTCTTGTCAGAAACTCTGAATTACCAAACTCTCACCCTTAGATTCTAGCCTCCGGGCCTTAGGTAGCGCCATTCATTGAGACCTCTTGAATTCTCAGCCATCCCGACACCTGGCCAGTCACAGGGCGCCTGGCAGGAGCAGCGGGGCCCAGAGCCGTCCTCCTGCCCTGAGCGCCCTGAGCACCTGCAGTGGTGATGCCACACCTTCCTGAGTCTAGCCCCATCTTTCCTGCTGAGCCTCATGCATCTTCACTTGGGCTTGGAGCTAGGTGAGTTGAAAGATCCTAGCAGGGAGCTGTACACTCATCTCATCTGACTAGGAAAATGCAGGTGTGTGAGTGGGAGCGAGGAGTGGAGGCCGTAGAGGAGCCGCAGCAATCCAGGTGGGCACTGCTGGGTGGAGGCCTTGGAGGTGGGCAGGTGCCAGGACCTGTCTCGCCTACAGGTCAGCAACTAAGAGCTCCTTTACGTGTAAGTCTCTGGTTATCACTTTAAGGTTTTCAGGGGACTTCAGTCAGACCAGTGAGAGCCCGTGACCTCTGCAGCTCGAGTGAGACCGTGCACGCTCCCTGTCCCATTTCCCAGCCCCTGGCCTGGGCTCCTTGCTCGTGTGGAGCAGCTTTCCGAGTTTGCATGGGGCCTCGCCAGCCGCCAGCCGTGGTGAGCAGCCAGCTGAGCCCCACATTTTGTCAACACCCTGAGTGCTCATTGCCGTTGATGTTCATTGGCACCGAGGTCATGGCAGGGACAGGGAGGCATCATGTTAGGATTGGCCCTCCTTCTGGGCCCTACCCCTTACCTAGCCACCTTGGACGTGTCAGGGGACAAGGAGAGCAGTCCCTTCCCTTCCCTCCACTTTGCCAGATCGACGACTCCTCTCTCCTGCCCGGGATTTCAGAATCCGCCAGAGCATAGGTTGCTCGGCACGACCAGTGGCAACAGCTGGCTTGTGTTTGTCACAACAATAGTTAAAGAATAAAATCCAACATGCAGAGTGACTCAACTCGGAGCCGGTGATCCCTCGCTCTCGCTTTGCTAACAGTCTCCGCTCCGCCTCCCCTTGGGCTTGTGGCAGGATGCTGGCACCAGACTCATAGTGCTGCTTTTCCTAAAAGGCCCAGGCGGCCCCCTCACCTGTCTTTAGAAAAATGCAGCAGGAAAAAACTCCGCTGACCATTCATTGGCCGTTGTGTTCCTCGAGGCCCCGGCTTTGCTGTCCTGGATTCAGACTTAGGATCTGTCTGTTTTCTGTGGGGAGAATAAGGCGGGGGGCAAAGCAAGCTTCTCCTGGCCCCTTTACATGTGCTTCTGGATTGGCTATTAACACAGAAGAGAGCTCACATGGAGGGAGTTCCTCTTCCAAGAGCCCTCCTACTCAGGCGCACAGAGGTCCTAGAGGAGGGTCCATTGTGACTCCCAGAGGCAGCAGCAGCCACAGCTGTGTCCTCGCCCAGGCACCACACAGGCCAGCGGTTTGCAGAGCTGGAAGAAAAGGGGTCTGCATGGCATCAGTGACTCTTCCTCCCTCTTTCCTTCCGTGTTCAGTTCTAGTTAATTCCGGGACGTGTTCTCGAATCCACTACGGAACTGGAGAGCACCTTATGTCCAACTGTATTATTTTATTGGCTCCACTTTTTTTTTCTTGGAGAAGATGCTTTGTGTTCAGCACCCGATCAGAAATGGTTCTAGTTTCCTGGGCTAAGGACCACCCGCCGTCCTGTGCGCTAGAGTGGAGCCCGCAGACGGCACAGACACCCTGGGGGTTGACCAGGTTAGTGTGTTTATGTGCACAGCCATCGGGAGGCTGCGCCGCTCTCTCTCTGGTGAATCTGCTCCTTAACTCCTCCTTCCCACGCCGTTTGAGTACATGATCCTGGCCACCATCATTGCCAACTGCATCGTCTTGGCCCTGGAGCAGCATCTTCCTGAGGATGACAAGACCCCGATGTCCCGCAGACTGGTATGTGCCTGCCTCCTCTCGCCTCTCTTTCCCCCTCCTCTTCTCCGGTTCCCTTCTCCTTTGCTCCATCACCCGGCCCTTTCCCTCCTCTCTGACCTCCAGGGCTAGGAGGAGCCCCATTGGGATGCATTAGGGCAAAATGACCGACCTTTCAGACTCCTGCTCCCAGCAAGTTCTGAGGGCATTGCAGACGCCGTGTGCACACCCCACGGCGGCCAGACAAGAAGAAAGGGCGGGGACAGGATCCAGTCCCTTCCTTCCCTTCCTAAGGGACTTGTGAAGTGACGTGAGCAAGGGAGGTCAAGGGGAGAAGATGAAGGACGCTCACAGCCCCTGTCCTCCAGCCCCCTCGCTTCCCACCTGTGCAGGTGTCCCATAGGAGAGAGGAGAGGCCAGAGCCTCCCTCTCCTCTGAAGCACAGTCCTCCGCTGACCGGCACCTCTGCTCCTCATCCCACAGGAGAAGACGGAACCCTATTTCATTGGGATCTTTTGCTTTGAAGCTGGGATCAAGATCGTGGCCCTGGGGTTCATCTTCCACAAGGGCTCATACCTCCGCATCCACAAGGGCTCATACCTCCGCAACGGCTGGAACGTCATGGACTTCATCGTGGTTCTCAGCGGGTGAGTCCTCTGGTCTCTTCAAGTGGCTGATGCAGCAAACCCCGGGGTGGCGGTGGGTGGGACAGGAAGTGCAGAGGGAGAAGTTTGAGGATAACATTCTCCCATGGGGCTGGGCCACAGACGACCACCTGCAGGGGAGTGCGTGTCCTCTGCGCAGGTGCAGGTGGCCGTCCGAGGAGCCGCGGAGCCATGGAGTCAAGGTCGGGCTGCCGCTGCTTCGGACTTCCCACCTGTGCTCGGCTAGTGCTGAGCACATGTCCCGGCTGGTCTTAGCCTGAGGGGCACCCCCAAAAGATGCGCCAAAAGATGCATCAGGTGCAGTTTTCTTTCAGAGATTGGAGAAGACCCCAACCATATCTTCTGAACTGATCAATGAGACGCCTGTTCTGACGACAGTTTTTTATGATTTGCAGATTTTTCAACAGGAGGAGGCATAACATTGAGTCCCACTAATGTTTGATAAATCATTCCTTTGGAAATTAATACAGCACTGCCACACTGCAGCTGACCCAGAGTCATGGGCGGCACATTCATTTAAGTATCTGACAGATCATCTTTCCTGTGGGAAATGAATAGAGCATGCCTGCACTGGGGCCGATCCAACCCCATTGGCAGCTTAGGTGATGGGCTTGGGTTGGGGGGTGAGGGCTGTGCCTCATTTGGCTTCTGTGGTTTCCTCTTGGTCTTTGTGGCAGGTGGTTCTTGGTGCCTGCAGGGGTGGGGCAAGCCCGGCCCTTGGGGGAGCCATGTCCCCTGCGGGTGTGGCAGCTAGAGACGGGGCATAGAAGTCCTCTTATCCAGGGTCTAGCAGACGGTAGTTCACACCTGTGAGGGAAAGAAGAAGATGGAGTAGAAACGTGGAGGGGAGAAATAGGAGCCCCCATTATGATAAACCAGAAGGGGAGGGGGGCAGAGTAGAAATTTCTTCCAGGGAATAGCCAGGGGCGTGGGGGGTGGGGGGCAAAGCCTGAGAGAGGTAAGACCTTGGAAATGTTTGCATGTATCCATTTTCCCCCGGAATAGACATAATACTCCTATTTTTAACCTTCACACCAATTGCGATAAAATGATCAGGTTGAAGGTGCAATGGGCTGGAATTTACAAATGGAAGCTCGTAGGCAGCCAGCTCAATACAGGGGACAGATACATAGACAGAGATGATTATTTATGTTGGGAAAACACCTGTTGCCTTACAAAAGGGTTTTCTGAAGGTGATTTTTCTAAAAGAAAATTCTGCTGCACTTAAGATACGTTGGTGTAAAAAGATACAATTTATACATAGTGTTTCAGAAGTACATGGTCATAGAAAATGCAGCGTTCCTGGGCGATGTTTTATTATTTAGTTTTTCCAGCTTTGTTGGGATGTGATTGACAAACAAAAATTGTATATAGTTAAGATGTACCATGTGATGTTTTGATATATGGATGCATTGTGAAATGATTACCACAATCCAACTAATTAACATATCCATCTCCTTACCTCATTACCTTTTGTGTGTGTGGCGGGGGGCGGGGTGGTGAGAACACTTGATATCGCTCTCTTGGCAAATCTCAAGTATAAAATACATGATTATTAACAATGTCACCATGCTGTACATTAGCTCTCCAGAATGTACTCATCTATAGGTGAAAGTTTGCACCCTTTAATCGGTATCTCCCCTTTTCTCATGCTCCAGCCCCTGCTAACCACCATTCTTTTCCCTGGTACTCTAAGTTTGATTGTTTTTTTTTCAACTTTACATACAAGTGAGATCGTATTGGACTTTGTCTTTCTGTGTCTGGCTTACTTCTTAGTATAATGTCCTCCGGGTTTATCCATGTTGTCACCAATGGCAGGACTTCCTTCTTTTTTAGGGCTGAATAATATTCCATGGTGTGTGTACTGTACACACACACACACACACACACACACACACACACACACACCTCATTCTTTATCTGTTCTTCTGTTCACAGACACCTAGACTATTCCAGCATCTTGGTTATTGTGCATAATGCTGAAATGAATATGAGAGTGCAGATGGGTCTTTTCAAGACAGTGATTTTATTGCCCTCAGATATGTACTCAGAAGTGGAGTTGCTGGTCATATAGTAGTTCTGTTCAGTGAGGAGCCTCCATACTGTTTTCCATAGTGGCTGCACTAATTTCCATTTCCATCCACATAGTGCACAAGGGTTCCCCTTTCTCCATAACCTCACCAACACTTATTTTTTTTTTTTTACTTTTTGATAATAGCTGGGTGATAAATGTCCCTAAAACAAATAATATTTGCTATATAAGTGAAAGGCATAGATGAGAATCTCAGTTACTAAGAAAAGTGATTCTGTCTAGAAGAAAAGCACTGAGACATGTATGTATTATACGTATTGGTCTCCCCAAGAAGCATGTGTCAGATGCCATGTGAAATTTCCCATCTCATCTATTTACTTGTATTTTAAACTATTACATGTTCATTAAAGAAAATACAGAAAAGTCAAAAGAAGGAAAAAACAATTCACTGTTTAAGAAAAATTCCTGATTGTTTTGTGGTATTTCCTCCCAGTGCTTGAATGCTAAGCAAGCTCCCTTTTCAATGCTTGCACTTTTGCTGCCTATTCTCAATATAGTAAGAGCATCTTATATGTTACTCCTTATTGTCATTAAAATCTGTACTGAGTGATCAGCATTTTGTTAACTAGACACAGCGTATTTCTCCATTTTTGCAGTTATTTGACACTTAGATTGGTATTACAGATAATTATTCCGGATGCTTCAATGTACGTGGTTTGGATGTCACGCTTTAAGAGGCATTGTGACAGGTTGAAGTGCTTCTAAAGGCGAGCCTGTTTTCTGCACAGGGTCTGGGACTAGGCTGTGTGAGGCAAGGTGGAGGGCAGGCAGGCGGGAGCCCAGCACTGCCTTTGAATAAGGGTTGCCGTGTGGCCGGAGGAGCAGATTTGGGGGGTCAGCAGGGTCCTTCCGTTAGCCTGGCCAAGAAGGTCCTGTGTCCTCACCTGCACGCCTGGGGCGCAGGTGCTGAGCCCTCGGCCAAGTCACTTGTCCCCTCTGTTCCCTCTCCACCTAGACCTCGCGTCTCTCATTCTTAGTGGCTCTTCACATTGCTGAAAGGCCACTGCTGTCCACCTGAGCCAGTGGCACTTCGCCCCGTTCTTCCTGCACCTACTGACGTCTGTCTCCTTAACTCACATGTGCTCCAGGGGAAGGGCTTGGCGTCTAGAGATGGGCGCTGAGGCCGCGGTTCTATCCCACGGGGCCGGGTGATCGGATCCGGTCTTAGTGTACACGGTGCTGCTGTCCACCACAGTGCCTCTCAGGCGCACATTTCTCATGCTGCAACATCTCTGAAACCAGCCTGTCACACAGTGATGGCATGATGGAGTTTAACTGACGGCATTTCTCTTTCTTCCTTCGTGGTACATAAAATCATGGGGCATCCATCGTACAGCCGTTGGGGTCTGAGATGCGTGAAATGCGTTGTGATACCGACCCGGGGAGGTGGCAGAGCAGGCCTGGGAATCGAGTCACCTGGTGCTTGGAGAGGTGAAGTACGCAGCCCAAGACCACCTGCCTCTTGACAGCAGGTCCAGGGGTTGCCATTGTGCCTCGTGACCCAGGGCTGGTGCATTCATCCCTGCCCCGTGCAGCCCCCCTCCAGGCTGCCTGACACCACCCCGCACAGCTGTCCCTGCTGGCAGCTCTGACTTCCCACCCCAGCATCAGGCGTCACCTCCCATTTTCCTCCAGTGCACAGAGGAGTGACAGGTGCTGGAGTGCGACACGGCGCCTCGGGCTCCGGCTGCCCGGCTTCTCAGCTCTCGGTGTGTGACTGGAGCGGAAGGAGGGCGGGTGCTGAGGTGTCACACAGCTGGCTCAGTGAAAAGCCTCTGTCGCTGACCTTTGCTAAGATGCTAAGAGATGGGGCACTGTCAGAGCACGCAGGAGCACCTCACGGCTCCGCTGGTCTGACTGGGTTTGAGTCCATGTCTTCTTATAACTTCTCCCATGTTACTACGCCAAGCACAGGGCAGGTTCCTTCTCGGTTCCTGCCTATCCAGGCACCTGGGCTGCCACATTCTGCCTTCACCTCTGACCTTTTAACCTTTAGTATTCTTAGGTCTGGAAGCTGTGGGAGTTCATGGTGTGAAAGTTAATTTGTGTACATTATTCATCCAGTCCTCATAATCCCCCCAGTGAGATCTTGTTATTTTATAGATGAAGAAACTGAGGTTCAGAGAGGACCTGTGACCCACTGGGAGGTGGGTACTGGCTCTGGCCCCAAGCTCCTTCTTCGACACTCATGTTCCCACCAGCAGTCACCTCGCAGTTTTATGGGCTTTGTGATCTGTAGCTCCTTGAATGCACATTCCTTCCTCCCCTTGGAGCATGTGGGGTGGGCTTAGGAGGGGCGAAATCAGACAGTTGCCCCTGGCCCAAAGCTGAGGCTCATGGTGACTTGAAGGGGACCAGGGCCCCAGGTATCTCTCTGTGGTCTGGGAATACAGCTTTCTGGTCTGGGAATACAGCTTTCTGGCCTGTGGCTTGATGCATAAAGACTGGATCAGAAGTTGCAGCTTGTTTCTTCATGAACTGTCTTGTTCATTCACTCATTTATCCATCCATCCATCCATCCATCCATCCATCCATCCATTTAACAAAACTTGTATTGTTGAGTACTCAAGCAACTGCTGGGACCGAGGCGCACCAAAGTTAATGTATCTTCATTTCTTCTTAAAAACAGTGGAATTTGCTGTGTCTTTTTACAAACTGTGAGCTTACATCACTTGGTGATCTTTTCCTGTATTGGTAACAGTTCAGAAGATGCTATTTCTAAACGTGTGTGAGGCCACCTGGAGAATTCGAAATAATTTTAAGTCATTATTATATTTTAGTCTAGGTAATAAGTCTCAGTACCTGGAATAGATGGGCAAGTGATAGAGGAGGGGAGGAGCTCAAAGGCACTGCTAAGCCAGGGCTAAGACAGGAGAGTGAGGATGAGGAC